GATTACCGCCAACACTGAGATGTAACTACGAGGCCAGGTATCCCACGCGCGCCCCCCGCTCGGTTGGAAGGGAGAGGGAGGGGGGGAGGGGCAAGGAAGAAGAGGAAGAAGAAGGTTTTAGAGGTTCATGATTGGGGAATGTGGTTGGTTGTTGTGGCTTTCTGGTAGCGGTTACAGTTCACACATGGATCGAAGTGTATGTTCGAGGTACCGGTACTTTGTAACTGGGGTTGGTCGCACGATGTTCTCATGGGCGGGAGGGGGGGGGTGGCAGGTGGGATGTAGCTAAAGTTCGGGAGTATCCGTACTCTGGTAACGGGGTTTTCGCTTGGAGATGAGACGAGTGCGAGCCTAACTTATCCCACGAATCGTGATGGAGATATAAGCGGAGGGAGCGTGAACAGGGGGATTCCTGTTAGATGTGTGATGTTTTTTTTTGAGTGGTTGGTTGTGTGATACAGATTGAAGATGGTAACTTACTATAATGCTGAATTGTTCTGTATGGGCAGGGTAAAGGACGGTACTCGAGTATGCAAAATCACCTGCATCCTCGTATGATACGGTAGGCTATTCTATAGTACTCTAATCGAATACAATATTCTCATATACGGCACCACGCACAGTACTGGTCGGGACGGGTGATATGATTGGAGGTGCGAGGAGGAAGTGGTAGAAAACGGTGGGATAAGATCGATCCGCAATCGGCGACCAACGGTTCTCTCCCTCCCTCTCTCCCACTCACCCCTTCTCTCCCTTCTTGCTACAGTACAGTATCACACCTACCGTAGACTAAGCGCACCCCGCGAAAACTCACCCTCCCCGCTCCGTTTCTTGGCATTTCAGCATCACTTGTCGAAGGCCAACCTCGTGCGGTCCGGGGTCTCTCTTTTTGTAAGCTAACATCTGTACCTGCGATACAACATCAAAGTCTGATCACGACAGCAAAAGAAAAAGAAAAGAAGAAAAGAAGGGAGAAAAAAAGAAAAAAAAACCCCCACATCCCTTTATCGCCAGATTGTTCCCTTTATCTTTGGGAGGGGAGGAGATCTTTCTCCTACTCTCCTTCTCGTTAAATGGCGGCCTTCAATATAGAGCAGGCGGTTGCGGAATTAGCAATTCTCGGTATTGAGCGGTCTGATGCTCTGGCTTGTTTGAACGTGCGTTGAGCTCCCCTTCCCCAAGACCAACGCCATTGTTGTAATCACTTCGCGATACAATATACCCCCTCTCGCCGTCTCGCTAATCGCAACAAAAACTTACCGGCTTTACTAGGCATGTAATAACGACCTCGTACGGGCAGCCGATTACTTTTACGGTGGCGGGGATTTGCAGAAGGTGAAACCCCCGCACTGCGGCTCGGTCTCCACCGCTCCGCGCTCTTGGGTTGTACTGACCGACTGACGGTATTTGGAGGGCCCTCTAGGCAAGGGAGGACTACAATTGGGACGCATCTCTGTTTGATGCTGACCGGGATGGGAACCCGAGCACCCAAATCGGCCATAGCTACGATAACAACCTTCAATCCGGTACGGCATAGCTCGGCAAAGGGGGATTGAGGCCTTGTTGTTTTTGGGGCTGTAGCGAACGAACTGACTTTGTGTCACATTCTAGAGTTCCAAATACAAGCACCAGATGTTCACGTTGGAAGTGGGTATGAGGGGACGAAGTCCAGACCACCATCCAGGGTATCAAACAGGGCGGGGGGCTCGGCGGGTTATCAAGGTAGTGAGATTGTCTTTCTTCCTCCTTGGCCAGGGCCAGAGGACTCATGGATGGAAACAACAGATTCTGATCGAGATTTGGCTCGAGCTCTGGCTGCCTCCATGGAGGGCTCTGGTGCCCATACCGGTGATTATGGAGCACAGGAGACTGGGATAACTGGGACACGTACTTCCCCAGCTACCTCCTATCTTCAACCGGCAAATCCGAATCGGGAATATAACCCACAAAATTGGGCTCTAACCACGACCCATGAGATATTCCTAGATCCAGGCCCATCAGAGCGCAAGCGTAAACCAGGAGATCCGGCATTTCTTAGGCCGGCAAACTCTGGCAGCAATATAGCCGCCCTGCTAACGATTCTACATGGTATCCCGGCTGCTAGGGAGTCTATGCTTGCTAGCGACTGTCTTGATCGTGACTATGGACATGATGATCAGTGGTGGAATGGCCAGCAGATTAGAATCTTAAGGGTCACTAATACTGGCGATGAGGAGACCGATGAACCGGAAATCACGGAAGAGGTTATAGAAGTTCAAAGGTTAATGGCCTTTTTGGATGGTACAATGAGGGCTTATGGAAGTGTGGAGAGCTTAGCCATGAACCCATGCTATCAAGAGCACAATCAAACCTGTGAGTCTGGTACATCGCCAGAATTTTCTGAGGGTTTAATAACAATTAATTCTGTAGCTACCCTTGCGACGTTCTTTCGTTCATGGATAAGAGCAATCCAAAAAGCTACTCTGGAGCCTGCTGAAGGGAAGTACAGCTGTACATTTTTTTCCGAAGCCACTCAATGCATCCGAGGTGCAACGGACGAGGCCTTGATGAACAGAGAGGCTTTCCAGATTATGGAACTCGTTGCTCCTACAATTGGCGAGACCACCCTTTACGATATGCTAGACTCAATTGTTTTTCCGCCGGACGATGAGACAGATGTTTTCGTCAAATTCGCCCCCGTCATCTGTGCTCAAATTAAACCCTCTGACAACGGGATATTTAATAGTTGCCCAATTGCAATCCCAACCGTTTTGTATCCTGACAGGTATACCCAAGCTTGGACGGAACCTATGTGGGAAGTTAGAAGGAAGATTGAGGAACAGAGGAACATCATAGGGGAAATAGAACTCCAAGAAGATAAGCTAAAGGGGATGCAGGTGAACGAGGGTACCTATCACGAGCTCCAGAGTGTGCCCCAACCTCGAGAACTTTTGTCGATCCTTGCCGAGCATTACGCGACTGAAGGGAATCGTGGAGCTTCGGCTGGGATTGCTAATGGAGTTCAGTCGGAGTCAAGTGCTGTTCTTGCCATGTTGGAGGACGTCATTCGCCAACTTGACGTGAAACTTGAAGGTAAACAACCATCGGCTAAGCGGGATGTAGTAAACTAATTCCAATTGTTGTATAGCATTGGCAAAGAAGAAGGAAGAAGCCCAGGAGACCCTAGTAAAACTAAGGTCATCACTTACTTCACCTAAAGAGCTCGATCCTTCACTTCCTCCACTGACAAGGTATACACTGCGCGGAGTATCTCCGGAGAGCTCTACTACCTTCACTCTCCTCCGATCATCTGACTTGGAGGAAGGTCAAAACTCTGGCTCATCCACTGGCCCATCAGGGGAGCAGTGGTGGTGCATTAGCTGGGCACCAAGGGCACCAACAACCGGATGGGATACCACGCCTACTCTGAATTACAAGGTTGAGAAGGTGACTGAAGAGAAGGTGATGGATGCTATTAAAACTACCGGAGAAGGCGCTATCCTACTAGTTTATGCGAATGACGAGGCGTTGAATTTCGGCGAAGGGATTGACACCTCCTTACCGGGTCCTCTTCAGGTATGATTAAAAATTGCCAATATTAATAGATAGGTCCCCCTTACTAATGTTTGTAGACATTTGTCGACCGTGATAACGCCGCCTTCAAAGCGGAACTGCTGCCAAACTCCCCAGGCCGAAAGCGGCATAACGATTGGCTCGACGCGGAAGATGAGGGTGCGAGCTCTTCTCCAGGTGCAGGCTTCTCCCCAAAGAAGATTTCGTCTTCCCGAAGTAGTGCTACCCTGGGAAATGCAACCCCCGAAGTTAGTCGTAAAAATAGTTTGAGCGGAAACGAAATCGAGATGATGGAGGGCATAGGAAGCGGAAATAGTCAACCTACTACTACTGGAGGAGACAATGCCATCGGCAAAAAAATAGACCTTCCCCAGCCTGGAGGTGGGGAAATGCAGGAGAGGGGCGGAATCTCCCCGGTCGCTATGGCCTTCCATCTTGATTCCAAGGACCGCGAAAGGGATCTCGATCAGGACATGAAGGATGTTGACAGCGAACACATTGAGTTTGCCGACTTTGTTGGGAAGGTTTAGTCTGCGCTTTACCGGGGACTGAAGTGTTAAATGGACCCTTTTACTCTTTTTTTACTTCTTCTTTTCTTCCTCTGGGAGGTCTCTTTCGTTCGGTCTGGGTCATTACTTTTCTTTCCTCCCATACTCCTCCTTTTCTTTCAAATACCAATCCATCATTTCTAAGAAAAAAGCTCGCGATTGCCTTCCGCCTCCTTCGTTCTCTCCCTCGTATCACCTCTCCCATTTTCATTTTCCCGCTTTTATTTTCCACCTTCTACGACAGAGAGGGAAAAAAAATCAAAATCGAAAGTACAGTTAATAGAACATCGCAAGTTGGTGATGCCGCGGCGTTAGTTTGGGTCTAGTTCAGTTCAGTTCAGCGCAAATCCAGCCCAATCTAATTCAGTTCAATTTCTTTTCTCTTTTCCGGTTTGTCTTGCGTTTGAATACCTGAAGGCTATGCCTGCATGCTGGTGTTTGTGACATTCGTGCTTTGTTCTATTGCGTTGGGTCATTTTTACTTTGATTGGTCTATGGACTCTTTATTCTTTGTGTGTTGTGTAGGTAGAAGAATTTGATAGAGTATAACATGCTGTACTGACTGACTGGCTTGACTCTTTAAGTTGGAGTGATCATTACCGAGTGGTGGACATTGCTTACCCTGTATGATACCATAGATCACATATGGCTTCCTAACTAATTTCCAACCCGAGTGATATATCATGCAAAATTTGCGAATCCAAACTCAAGTGATCCAAGGAAGAAGGAAATACACCATCTCAATTACTTATGGTCAAGAAGACAGAGCTGGGGGAGAAAAGGAGGAGGGAGAAAAAAGACATAGGATACTGGTATCATACTATAGAGATACACGCGAAAAAAGTATAACTAAGGTAACACCGGGCACGAAAAAGAATACACAATCATTGATAACTTTCCCCCCTTTCCTCCCTTCCCCCTCCATTTTCACACCACTCCCTGCTTCTGCGCCGAGCCAGTAAAAAAGAAAAGAGAAAAGAACAAACCCTAGAAAATAATGAAGGGGAAAGGAAACTTCGTGAACGTTCTATAAAGTATGAGGAAGAAAACGGTAGGGGAATAATGAATAACGGAAGCCCTGCACTCAATAAAGGAGGAAAAGACCAACAATTTGTTTGGCGAGTTTTCCGGGTGGGGTGTAAACGGCGAAGTAACTAAGACTAAGAGTAGGGGTTTAGAAAAGAAAGTTGTAACGTGGCAGACTCCGGGCATGAAACGAAACGAGGCGAAATAGGTGACTTTAGCTAGCTAACTAACTAACGAATGAACCGAAGACACTACGAATCCGCACCGAAGGGATTCTTTCCAAGCCCCGAGGAGGAGAAGGAGGAAGAAGAGACAGGGGTAGAGGTGGAGGAAGTCTTATTCTCCTTGCCCTCCGTAGCGATTCCCGAGAAAGCCTTTGAGAGGAGTTTTGGTTGGGACCTGGTACTTCGTTAACTAACATTCCAACTTTTCCAACGAAGCATAGAAACAGGTGACGTACTTCCCATAAGCTTTCTGCTTATGCGCTGCCAACTTCTTGGTGCACGGGGTCATCATAGCATCTGTTGGGGATGTGAAGGATCCGGTGGTTCTGTTGTTTTCGAACAATTAGTATCCTCCTCGGAAAGCCGGGGAGAGGGATATTTTACTTCTCTGCGAGCTTCTGCGCAAGCAACTGACGCTGCATTTCGAGGCTTGCGTTCGGGGCAGCCTGGTGAAGTTGCTGAACGACGGGACTAGGAGACTCGTTCGTGTTTGGATCGAGGGCTTGGTTCAAGCTTAAGTCTGTGAGGGGTTGAGCTGACATTTTGGGAGTTTTTTTTCTTCTTTTCTTCTCCTTTCTTTGCTGCTTGAGGTTGAGGGTGAAGTATGGTCTTGCAGTGAGTGTGGAGTTGAGTGGTAGTGGTGATGGATATGGAAGGAAAGTTTCGTGCGGGATGGAAGGGGAATTTGTACTCGTGGGTTTGTTTGTGCTCTGGTTGCTGGGGTTACAGATTCTGGCAGCTTGGCGTAAACAACGGAACGTGGTGGTACAAGAAGGTGGGGTTGGCCAGCGACTTCTATTGGGAGAAGTGCGGGTAAACAGGCATGGGTTTAGATTGTGGGCTTGGAGGCTGGGGATTTGTGGGTTTGTGGTGCTCCTACGGGCAGCGGGGTTCGCCATCATACAATAAAAGTATGGCATAGAGCGTGGCACTTTATGCGCTCCAGGTTCTAAAAGAGTGTTCGTTGCCTCCGTTTGTTCCACAATAAATAGCCACCTTGCTGCTTATGATATTGTACTCTACATGCAGACCACATCTCGAAATCCAAGGAAGACACTAAACAGCTTCGCATTCACCACCACCACCACCACCACCACCACCACCACCACCATCACCACCGCGGATGCCGTATCATGTGTCGGACATGCTGGACCACTTCAGTCTCGACTCTTCTAGCGCTGTCTCTGCTGGAGCACAGCCTTAGACTTACCCTTCGGGAGATTTCGGGATTCGAAAAGACGTTGTGTTCAAACGTGGTAGAGAGTCGTAGGTTCTCCCGGTGGGGGCAGTTGTTTCTTTTAATCTGTCTGGCCGCTGGCACTGCCGTCTGCGATATGGGTGGACATCGAAGCGGTATTTGCCCTCGGAGGTCCGTGGCGTTGGTGTTAGTACCAGTGTCGTGTTATCTTGCGGCATTGGTTCTGCGGGTGGTGAGGTCGGTATCGATTATATGATATTTGTAGGGTTGCTATGTAGGTTAAATGAGGATCTTTGGGAAGGTAGGAATTGGCTATGCTTGAGTGTTGAGTGATTCCATACCTAGCATTCTTCTTGACAGTATGATAACAACTTTGGCATCCTCTTTTCTCTGAATGCTTTCTCGTGGAGGAGCAGGGCTCTACAAGTACTCCAGTGTGGTAGTCTGGGGTCGCCATCAACTCCGAGATCCACCCCAAAGCAGGAAAGACTCCACTAACGTTTCTGCATAAATGACAGATCACTCGCTATGATCTTAGATGATGCTCTGGACAGCTCCAAAGCAGCATCTTGAAGCTGTAAACAGACTCTTGGAGCCAGGTTTGGCTCCATGACCAGATGTTCCATATCCCCTGGGGAGACATATTTTCACCAAGTAGAAGAACCTCGCAAACCCCACAAAGGGCAGCTTTTCACACACCAAGCCAACAAGACACTAACTGTCATGAATGTGGCTTGGCATGGAAAAGGTTTTCATGTGACTCATGATTATGAGTCATAGGTATGTTATTGTTTCGTGCATATGACTGATTTGGGTCTTATGACTTAGTATGTTATGATTTGTTATGTTTTTGCACATGACTCGAATATGAGTCATGGGACGTGTGCCTGGCGAGTATGCCCTGTAAGTGTGCCTTGTGGGTATTCCTTGCACATATGATTTATGTTTCGCACATGACCTCGTTATGAGGTCATGGGTTTCACGCATATGACTCAGTCGAGTCATATGACTTGTTTATTGCGTAATGATTAGTTTATGAGTTTTCGTACATGACCTTGCTATGAGGTCATGGGTTTTGAGCATGTGACCACTTTGGTCACATGATTAGTTTGTTATGATTTGGTTTTGCACATGTGACCACTTTGGGTCACATGACTATGGGTGGGAAGAATACTATATAAGGAGGCGGATGTGGCCGAGGAGAATAGGTTCTTCATACTTTGTTCTAAGTACTTTTCCTACATATTACTTTAACGAATATAAAACACCTTTATGATCTTTATCTTTATTGCAATATTTATCATTATGCAGAGGAAAGCTCTTTATGGAGAAGAGTTAGAGAAAGCTTACGATAGGTATTCTCGATAGAAGACAGAGGTCTTGTACTATCAGTAACGTAGGCATAGGCCTAGTGCTATTGTAAGACGAAGAAAGAAAAAGAAGGAGAAGAGAAGTATCGTTCCCTGTTGCCAAGAACTAACCATCCAAGGAGGGATCGTTACACTAACTCCAATACTAAGTAATATTTTTCACAAAGCTAACATAATCTAAAAAAAAGAATGTATATTTTTCACCAAGTTAGGCACCCCCACAAAACCTATAAAACTTGAATACACCAAGCCTGGGCATATTATTGTTAAGCTAGATACCAAAACTCAAGACAAGCCGTATTGTATTTTTACATAATATTATAAACCTATTATTTTTTTTTACACCAAGCCTGGGCATCTTATTGTTAAGCTACTCGAGTACAGTCTTCACCGTAGTCGCAGCGAAACTGGGGTGGTGGCGAACAGAGATGAATGACCAGTAATTTTCTGCAACCCTAACCTTGACAAGTTCTTTTTTGACTACCAAATACCCCTGTTCGCCACCCCAGTTTCGCCGAGACTACGGTGAAGACTGTAGTCTAATACTGTAAGGAGGGTGGCCCACCCGAGGCCTTAGGCAGTGCCGGAGGTGGTGGATGTCGGGGGGCTTTAACAGTGCCATGCACAGCGTAGATCGAATCTCCAAAGTCCGAAAGAGGTTCGGGGGGACGAACTAGTTCGGATGAGGTAAGCGCCCTAGGCAATGATCCTATATACATGTGTTTGGTACTATCATGAATGAACGCACTGCCCTACAACCTAATCAGCAAGCTCGGTAATATATGTACATACAAGCAATTAATCCTTCAAGGGTCTAAAATCTCATCTTTCATTTAGAAATCACAAAACCACCTTCCGTACCCTCCCCACTACTGTCACCTATACCCACTACCACGTCCCAATCCGAATGACGAGGACGAGAGCGTACTCGGCTATCGTGAGGATTACAAGATACGCAATGACAATGTCAGCCGTAGCGGGAACCGCATATGTCGGGATTCGTACATGGCGTCCGAAACCCTATACATCACTGTGTGAATGCGGTAGCTTCCGGGAAGGAACTGTCTCTCTGTTCACTTCACATTTGCTATTTCGAATATTTTGCTGGGTGTGAGAAATGGGTAGGCAAGCCTGTTTTCCTCCAATTCATGGTAGGATGGAAAATCGTCCCCATGCTCAGGCTCTTGGCTTACTTCTTTTCTCGGCAGCTGAGTATAGGAGTTGGAAGACTCCCGAGATACTGGTATATCATCATTGTTGAGTGGACCTTTTAGCCAGACGAGCTGAGGTTCTTTCCGACTGGTCTTGCAAGGTGTGCCAACAAGGAGTGATGGTTAATCGGTGTCTCCTAAGTATGATATTGCACTATGCATGCAGCCATGTCATTAAGTCTCTACATAGTTGTTCACAGTAGTCTTAAGGATCCTTGTCCTATCATGCACCGCTTTCTTTCTGTTTGGGGAAAAAAAGGCCCTGAATGTTTATCTATTGTACAAGGGAGAAGAAAAAAGACATGGGGGGCAAGAGTCTATGGCCAGGGAAAAAAATGAAATAATGTGATGGAAAAAAAGTGAAAAAAAGGAGCGGAGAAAAAGGCGTGACCACCACTATTTATCCATATTACAGACATTGTCCACTATGTGGAGCCAGCAGCAGGGGAGGGTTGAAAATTATGGTCCAGCACATTCGCTCTTCCTTCACGAGCTTCGAGCGCCTTACCACACCGTTCCACCGCCAACTCTCTGATATAAGTTCCTAGTTTTCTGTGGAAGGGACCCCAGTCAAAGCCAACATAATGATTCTCTGCAGAGGAGACGTCCATAAAATCGCAGAGGTGAAAGTATATATAGGTTGAATTGTCTGCGTTTAAGTGGTTCTATGCAAGTTAGCTATATCAGAAACATTATTTTTACCAGTCTTGAGGAGTCACTTACATGGGGGCCTAACGTGCGAATTGCCACGTGAGACGTGGGATGACGTTTCCAGATTTCAATCGAACTAGTAATTTTGCCTACCCAACGTAGACCTTTATAACAAGCAGGTCCATGGGCCTCATCAAGGGAGAAAAGCTCTTGGGAAACTTCTTCAGATGGAGGAAATTCTAGGTTGTCAAACTCCTCATCGGTAAGTCGTGAGGTTGGGTTTTGGTAAGCGGGATCCTCATTCATTTTTACTAGCATTACCGCGGACACGGTATCTGTTCCCTCCAACCACATTCTAGCATCCCGAACCAGATCATCATACATCTCAGTATAACCAACTTCCAATATGAACTTTACCTCCAGAGTCCCAGCTGCATTTTCCACCTGAACCATGGTATCGGGTACTTTTCCAGACCCTTTGTAACCACGTTTAAAAGAGCGGAATTTTTGATTGTAGACGATGGCAATTCTCTGACGAAGTGGTGTAGGGAGGCTACTTCTTGCTAGATTGAACCCTTCCGAGACTGTGCTGATAACCTTTTCATGAATTGGGCTTGGCATATGTTGGATGATGAGTGTGGAGGTTAACGCATTAAACGAAATTTTCGGAAACCTGACACTACTTAGTAATTGACTTTAAAGTGGAATCAAGAGGAAGTCCTACTTTTCGTCATCGCCTACATCTAGGATCTCGCTGAATCTGATAAAATCAGATTTAGGCATTTGCATTCTTAGCGGCAATTCCTCCGCACCCCCAGGAGAGCCAAAACTCTCAACACCTAACCGCCAGTTTTGAAATTTCCGTACATATTCATCAACGGATACCGATTCAGGATCTCCGGTAGGTGGGGTTGGCTCAACAGGACCGGAACCGTCATCAGTAATACTGTTTTCCATGTGGTGATAAGGCGAAGTCGCAACCGCACGCCGATGCCGAAAATTGTGTGGGATGGGTAACCACAGAGGGGCTGGTCTAGGTGTACAGCTCGGCGGTACGAAATAAACATTCGGCGGTGCGGGGGGGTATCCAGGTGTACTATAGCTCCCAAGCCCACCATAGCTCCTGGGTTCGTCCAGTCGGTACGCCGTTTTACCGGAAATTACCTATATGAATCACGTTAGTTGAAAAATCTTGAATGCAATGTAATGCATTATTTAATTGAACTGGAGATGGAGCTAAATAAAGTGTGGCTCAATAGGCAACTGAGAGTAAACCTCCATAGGAAATTCTTCCCCTTCCAAGAGTAAAAGCTTTGGTAGAAACACCACCATAATGAGAATAATACGAGTGCGGCTGATAGATATATCCGTTACGTGGATATTTTCGGCGAGGCTTTCTCACCACAACCACCTTATCAGGCCCACGTGACCGATATATCTATCGGCCGCACTCGTAGTTGGAGTCAAGAGAATAAGGAGAGGAAAGGTGGGGAAAAACAAACTCTCTTACCGATATCAATGGTTGTGGTCCGAACTGTCGTCTCCGAGCTTTTGGCAGTGGATGGTATAGTTGTGGGAGTCGGGTGGACGAGGAAGGTTTAAGTACTGGTGGCAAGTTTTTTTTTTTGCCCTACCAGCACTATTGATTATGTCAGCGGATAGAATGGTCAATTTTTTACCAAGACAATGCACCTACGGTAAGTCTCGTATATATGCCATAATTACTTGCTAAATCCACCATCAAGGGATCGGGTGAGGGTTTTTATTTATTTATTGAAACCATTATTGTTGGAAATTGTTAGGAATCGCTGTTGTGCTCTTGCAGCATTCTCGAGTGAGGCTCTATGACTGCTTACGCAACTCGGTCTTTGCCCTTGGCGGGTGAATAGTTTCGTTTTCTCTATTCTTTTGATGGTTTCTGACATTAGAGGTGTTTTTAGAAACTGGAGTGGGACCTGGAATAATTACATGGATTGATTTGAACTAAAGCATCCAGCCTATTATTGCATTTGCGTTCTTGTTTTGTTGATTTTATAGGAGGTCCTGCTGATGGCGGGAGGTGTTTAGCCCAACATTGACGAAGGCCGGAGATGTAAAGTAAATAGGCAAAAGTCTTAGTATGCCCACCAATCTTTTGACGATAGAGACAACACCGCCTATTAGCTTTGTTGGCACTTGAAGTGCCTTATTTCATGCCAATGTGCCCAGCACGGCACAAAGTAATGCCAGAGTGTGGATCAAAGAGAGGATCCCAGAACAGCCCAACGAGGCACCCAAGGCACCACTTTCGGACCCCATCGTAAAATATCACTACGATAGTGAGGACCGGTAAGGGGCACTCCTTCATCCCCCTGGTAGTCCATCGAGCTAGGTTAGGGTAACTGGCTAACTGTCCGCCCCCCGAGACTTATGATATGGTATGGTATTGTACCAATGGGTTCCGTTCGGTTTCCATGGCATGCAGGATTCTTACAGCTGGATCACAGGCTGCATTCCATGCTTTGCTCATACACGACGAGAGCGCGGGCACTGCTGTGATAAAAGTGGGAGGAGGGAAGTCTATCATACTCCTGCTGGTCTATGTCCTATATCTATTCTTTCAGCTGAAATCACACACATCTCTGTACCAGACCCCGCAACATCATGTAATCGACGAAGAGTCTCATCCGGGAATTCTTGAAAGGATGAATTCGGGAACTACATCACCTAGCTCCCCGACGGGTTCGACACATTCGACACATATTTCGGGGTCTGCCTATAGGGTTGCTAGGGGGGTTAGAGCTAAGTTCGGAAGGAAAGATATGTGGAACTGGGGAGGAGGCGGGCAAATCATCCGAGGAGCCGTTGGATAGGGTGAGGCGTGGAAAACGGGACAAGGACAAGATCACTTCATCACTACGATAATAGCTGCTGGAGTTGACAGTGTGGAATTCACAGCGGCGACAGGTACGACTTGAGCAGCCACCACACGACTCCAGATACCCCGCTCAATCTCCCTTCACCCACCCATATTCCATGCATTAGCCCTCAACGAGCGTCCAGGTTTCATCCGTTCCCAATCGAACAGATCAGCATCCTACATCATCCATCGCCACCACTCATTACTCCCAGACATCTACACCTAGCAATCCGCCAGCTAAACCGCCTATCTCAGCACACCAGCAACCCGGGAACTGCCCCGCCCAAGTCCCAAATATCCCACACCTCGGTTGTTATTCTCCTCATAGTCGGAAACCCAGCATAGCACGCTACCGCCGTGACCGTCATCACGAGGAATAAATGGACTCTGCAAATCGGTGTGGTTGTGGGATCATCTATTCGGATTTCCCTATTTATCACTCCTATTGTAGTGGCTGCTGGACAGATTCTGGATGGGCTCATGTCGTTGTATGATACTTTAACTGCTTTGTGCGTTTTTCTTTCCCGACGAGGGGGATCAGAGTTCCTCTACACCGGGTCCTAGGAGGGTTAAGAGGGTTTGCCAACGGGGGTTATGACTGTGCAGGTCTGATCTTCCCAGCACGAGTAGGATGGACATAGTCGTTCCCTGTTTCTACGTTCTGGGTTTATGGGTTGTAGGTTGACATCACAATAGTGCTTTAGTTGGGGTTATTGCATCGAGTGATGGCACGTGTTGGTGGTGAGCACAGCACCGTATCGCGATTGATCATCTGTGATAATGTAATGGATGACGGGGATTTGTTAGATCGAAGGGTATTCATTTATCCCATCTCATTGTATAAGCACAAAGTATAATGACCGATGCCAAGAGGACCCACGTGCTATTCCGAGCAATTCGTGTCCGAGATATCATTTCCCAACAGCCAAAAGTAAATATACAAAATAAGAAAATCCCGAAAAAAACAAAAAAAACAAAAAAAACAATGCTACTGCTACAAATTCGCCCTAACCTGGATCCCAAACTCCTGCATGAGCTCCTGGGTCTTTTTAGTTTGCATGGCGATCTTATCCTCACTGTACTCAACAATCAGCATCATAGAGTGTTGAAGATGCCGGAAAGGGGAAACTCACATCTCCTTACTCCTCTTATTCTCCGCTCTCCCCAGCTGATTCAAGTGCACCTCGTCCGGCCCATCCGCGATCCTCAGGGTCCTCTGGTGTGCCCACATCCTCGCGAGCGGGAAGTCCTGGCTAATGCCTGCAGCGCCATGCGCTTGAACCGCGCGATCGATGACAGCAAGGCTCATACTCGGCACATAGATCTTCGCCTGAGCGATGAGGCTCACGGCGCCCTTCGCATCCGAATTATCGATCTTGTCAGCGGCGTTTAGCACCAGCAGTCTGCCAGCGTCGATCTCGATACGGGACTTGGCGATCCATTCCAGGATGGAGCCGTGCTCGGAGAGGAGCTTGCCAAAGGTTTTCCGGTCCGGGTCGTTGACGCGGGCGATCATGTATTCTAGCGCGCGCTCCGCTGCCCCGATGGATCTCATGCAATGGTGTATCCTCCCTGGTCCCAACCGGCCCTGAATAATCTCAAAGCCGTGGCCGGGGCCGAGGACCATATTCTCAAGCGGAACGTGCACGTTGTTGAAGGTGATCTCGCAGTGTCCGTGCGGGGCGTCGTCGTACCCGTATACTGATAGCACGCGGCGGACCTGCACGCCCGGTGTACCGGCCGGGACTATGACGACGGATTGCTGCTTGTAAGGGTTTGGGTTTGAGGCCTCGGATTTCCCCATCACTAGGTAGACCTTGCACCGTGGATCGCCGGCGCCGCTGCTCCACCATTTTGTCCCATTTAGGACGTATTCGTTGCCTTGTCTTGTGATTTCCAGGTTGATGTTCTTTGCGTCGGCCGAGGCGCGGTGGCGTTCAGTCATCGCGAAGGCGCTGCGGATCTTTCCTTCTAGTAGTGGTGTGAGCCATTGGGCCTTTTGTGCTGGTGAGCCGTATTTGGCTAGGACTTCCATGTTGCCTGTGTCCGGCGCTGAGCAGTTCATTGCTTCCGAGGCTATGAGACTTCGTCCCATAATTTCGGCCATAAGGCCGTATTCTAGATTTGTGAGCGGAACGCCCTCTGGGTAGTGCTTTTGCGAAAGGAAGAGGTTCCAGAGCCCTCGTGCTCTGGCCCGCGCCTTTAGGGCGTCGATTATGGTTGGGTAGGTGTTTAGGAAGCGCTTTGCTGGGTTAGTGGGCTGCTGAGCATCGAAGACGGCATCCGCCGGGACGCATTCTGTCTCAACAAAGTGGTGGACTTTCTGAAGGAGGGCATGGGCGGATGGTGAGACCTTGGAGGCTACGAGGGGGGGGATTTGGTAGGTTGTCATTTCAGTGGTGATCTCTTGTGAGTCTAATTGATGGTGGGGTCTTAATCTGATAAGAGATGGAAAGGGGAGGGTATGGGGGGCAGAAGGGGGTAGAACAAAGAAGAAAGATGGAGGAAATGAGGAAGGGGAGGAAGATCCGGGGTTTTTTAAGGTGGAGCTTGCTGTATCATACCGGTATGTATGATACTCGTACGAGTAGCTCAGCAGCAGCTAGACTAGGGTTGGTTCCTGAGATTGAACCGAGGGCCCGTGGTTGCCGTGGTTTAACCGATTTTGGTAAAGAGTCCGGGTGCCGTGCATTGCTGTGGAACGTTACTTGAGTACTTGTAGAGTCAAGAACCAAAACTTTGGAGACGTCAACCACCTTTCATCGATCTTAAACAGCGGGCAGAAAGTATGAGCCTTCCTGTTTGATATTCAAACTACAAAGACTCACTCTATGCTCAATCCGGAAGTTAGGAATCATATAACGACAATAGTTAACCGTGGGATACTAGTAGATTTGATATCGGATGTCCCCCCCCCAAAGGATCCAATTCTGTAATAAACATAACTACCGGATACCCTATTTACAAAAAAAAAAGGAAGGCAAGGAAAGGGAAGAGAAAATATCCCGCTATCATGATCGCTCACTTTATATTTTTCCTGCCCTTAAAATGCTTCTTCCCACCCATCGCCTTTCTCACCTCCTCAGGACTAAGATTGTTATCCAAGGCGATCATGGTCCTCGCCTTTCTCCCGCTTAGATGTTTCCCGCCGGGTAGAGCTCCAGCAGCACCAGCACCCAGGTGAAATGGCGTCTTCACATAACCTAGATTTCCCTGTCCCTCGACAAAGAATTCCCTATCAAGATCATGCGACTTCTCTCCCATCTCGACAACCGGTAGGTCCTCGGATGTGAGGTCATCATCGTTGTCTTGGCCCAGGGGGGCCCCAGTTCTCCTGTTCCGTGGAAGATGCGCTCCATCGTAGAGGCCTTTGTTGAAATTGAGTGGATCGATGGGAGAGCCTGCGGGGGGTGGATGGCAGAAGAGGAGCTTGCCGTTCACGTAATCTTTCAGAATGTATCTCGCAGCCCGGGACTCGTCGGGGATCCCAGCTCCGGTTTTGTAGAAGCCTCTAGCCCTAGCGTATGCCATTAGGAGTTCCTCCCCGGTTGGGATACCGGTGCCGCCTTCTTCGAATGGACGGGTATGTATCTTGATGCCGTAGAGGGATTCGAGAAATTGCTGGGGGATCCGTTGCGCCACGAGTGTTGTTGGGCCGCTGAACTCACGGAGTTGGTCGATTGGTAGGACACCGTTGCACACGAGCTCTGCTTTCGTGGTGGCAAAGTTGGGGAAGACGAGACCGGGGCAATCGCAGAGGACTATCTTCTCGCTAAGGTGGAGAGTTTGGAAGTGTTTTGTTTTTCCGGGAGTTGAGGAGACGGACACCTTCTTTGCACCGATAAGGGCATTGATAGTAGAGGACTTTCCAACGTTCGGGTATCCGACAAGACCGATCTGGGTCTTTCGAGGTTTCTCCGGGTCTTCACCTGCGAGGAAATTAGAACGATATAAGTAATAGAGTAGAAATAAACATACCTTTAACAGTAGATGCATGCTCCAAAAACACCTCCTCGAGCTCATCGACAGTAAGAATTCTAATCCTTGGCTCCTCCTTTTCCTCTTCCACCACTACCACCTTCTCGACAGATTTCTCTTCCTCGTCCTCGCCGTAATACTCCTCATTGATCTGCTTCGCCAACGCGGCTGAAAAGAACCGATAACTGATTCCCTCCTTCTCAAAGTAATCCCCCCACGCACTCCTCTGCTCAGCAGTCATCATATCCGCCTTATTCACAAGCAGCAGATTACCCTTCCTCTCGTCAACCTCCTTGACATACCTCTCTAGATCCTCACTGCGGAACATGAGCGGGTTCCTAGCATCGACGATCTGAACGACAAGGTCACTCCTCTCGATGACTCGCCACAACTGCCTCCAAACCTCAAGATTTCGCTCGAAAGGGGTCATGAGTAGGTCTTTTGTCTCCTGTAGCTCTGCGAGGCCTCGGCGCCAGCGCAGGAAGGAGTCCTTCTCACGGCGTTCCAATTCTGCGGGTGTAGTTGCCGAGTCCCAATATGGGCGACGGGGAACAGTTAGTTGCTGCTTGTTTTGTCGGTGCTTGGTTTTCGCGGCCTTTTCTTCATCAGCTGTCAGCAGGTAGGGGTTTATCTGGCCTTTGTGGATGATCTTCATGTTGCTCATTTTTTCTACCGTACAATCAGCATCGCAGTGGTAAAGCTTTAGACACACAATGAGATACCAGCCGTGAAATCCGTATCCGCCAATTCAGCAGTATTTAAGAACTCTGCCGCATATATCAGCATTCATTCTCCCTCCCATCTCCCTTTCCCTTCTTCCTTCCTCCCTTCCAGCGTGGTCAAGAAAACAAGATGGAACAAGACAAACCATCAAGATCATTCTGCTGTGTAATACTCCGCATCTTATACCAATCCGCCTCATGCTTCCCCGTAGTATATAGCTGCGAAACCTATTAGCTACTCTCTGTCCCCATATGTGATACCGGCATTTTCACAATGCCCTTCTCACCATCTCAGACTGCCCCGAACCCGTTCCCCTCCCACCTCTCCCAGCTCCATTCCCTCGATGCTTATTATTCGTCTTATGCGCGCTTCCGCTCCTGGAGTTCATTAGGGCACGGCCGAGACCGACTTTGTTCTTACTTTCTGCGAGAACCATTGTGTTTGGTTCTTAATTCCGTGTGGAACTTGGTCCGATCGGTTGGTTGGTGGTGTTTTTATTGAATTTTTAGTTTTATCTTGCGTTCAGATAGAGGGGTAGTCTCAATGATAAGTTAGTATAATACGGGTACGATTCTGTTGTGGGGCAGGCTTTCTTTCTTTCTTTTCGTAGATGTTGCTGCAGCAGACCAGAAATGGGGAGAGGTATTGATCTACTCGAGTACCAGCATTAATCGCCGTCACTTGTGGCGTCATTGTATCAAACCACAGCTTTTTGTCAGCGACTTCTTCCCCGAGACCACCGACTCGCACACTTAAAAGATCAATAATCACGCATTCCAACTTCTATTTACTTCTTTTCCACGGCACGGTATTCCCCGATAAGGAGGATAGCAATTACAGCCCTCCCTATCGATCGATACTTCTCACATTCCGCTTTTAAACCGCCAAAATGCCAACCAAAAAGTGGATGTAAGTCCTACCAAAATACCCCTCCCCCGCACTTCCGCAACTACCACATCTCAACTGACCATGCCAGCGACAAAAAAACCGCAACAAATTACCAACTCCGCTACCGTGCACAAACAGATCCCTTAGTTCACGACGACCAAGCCAGCGAACTAGTCTTCACCCAGGTCACAGCACCCAATGCCTCCAGATCCATTCCCGCCCTCACCGCCTCATCGTCAAAAATCAAAACAACCACAGACCTGGCCCAAGAACTCTCCCCCCCATCCACAAGCCTTCGCAAAAATGAAGGCGAAGCCGCAATCCACGGGGTGTACTACGACGACACGGAATATGACTACATGCAGCACATGCGGGACATCAACGACGAACAAGTGTACTTCGTAGACGTGCAGGAGAAGTCATCCCAAGGACAGAACAAGAAAAAGAACAAGATGAAGTTGGAAGACGCACTGCGCCTCCCTCAGGAGGTATTCCCCTCAGTAGTGGAAGTTAAAAGGAGCTATCAGGATATGCAAGACGTGCCCGACGCACTCAGCGGGTTTCAGCCTGATATGGACCCACGCTTACGTGAAGTTTTGGAGGCGTTAGAGGATGAGGCGTACGTTGATGATGACGAGGATGTATTCGGGGAGCTAGCCAAGGGAGGTGAAATATCTCCGGGAGAATTCGAAGAGGGGGAGGAAGATGGTTGGGAAAGCGATGTCACCGAAAAACCATCCAATAACCCACCGCCCGCAGGAAAAGAAGGAAAAGAAGGGGAGGGAGAAGACTGGTGCCGCGCCTTCAAAGCATTCAAAAACGACCAAAGAAAAAAGAGAGGGGGTAAAGTCGCATTCGACAACGACTCCCTTGCAGACACCATGAGCTTCGGCGGTAACTCAACCACCTCCTCCTTCGGCGGAACAATGAGCGTGTCGAACCGCACTCGCCGGAGAAAGAAGAAAGCCGGCACCGAGAGTTCCGGTTACTCAATGAGCAGTTCCGCACTATTTAGAACTGAAGGGTTAACACTTTTGGATGATCGGTTCGACAAAGTATTCCCGACCCCGCCCTCGTCACGGACCCACAGGGGTGAGACTAATGATAGTGGTAAATAGATCGAAGAAGAATACGCAGAAGAGGAAGAAGGGGAAGATGACTTGAGGTCCAATTCAGGCGTCGCGCTGCCTGAGACTAGACGGGATCTGGATTCGGTACTGGATGAGTTCTTGGACGGGTACTCTGTTGGGAAGAAAGGTCGGGTTCGGCGTGGAAAGTATGGGTCTGGAATGGAGCAATTGGATGAGATTAGGAGGGGGTTGGGGGGTGCGAGGATCGCTTCTTGATGATAGCAGAGCATTGGCCATGACGGATAGAATGTTCCGAAACGAGTGTCGAGTGATGGGGGTGTGATTCTAAACCCCAATATTTGTAACGTTGCATAGGTTGTGGGTGCAGGTATGACATGATACTTAGATCTGGTGTCTGGAAAGGTTAGGCGGGGGCTATATAAAATGTTCATGTGTTTTTTCACCTTTTTTTTCCTTCTCATAATATATTCACTTTGAATCAATCTCTGCTCTATCCAAGCCTCTCATTTTTTTACACCACAAAAGCCAAGTATTAAAAAATCACCCGAAAGGAGAAGGAGCAGGGGGAGGGAAAAAAAAGGGGATCCACGAAGCCAATGACTTTACCGCTTCCTTATAAACAGGTAATCCGTAAAATCAAAACGAAAACTACTATCGACATCTAAGGAGCCCGTATAGAAGATACCAAGAAAGCAAAGTTCTCCGCGAACAATTCAAACATGCTGAATCCCACCTTCACTCCAGTCACAAACTACGCTTTCCAAACCCTTTTGACCGCTACACCAACCCAACACCCAGCGTCAGCCAGACTCATCCAAACCAATCAAAAGAGAAAACAAAACGGAAGGAACACAAACCCTCAGTAATCCCCACGTCATTGGTCTCAAACTCGTACAGTCCCACAAGCACCAACATCGTCGCGCCCTTGAGCGCCCACATAGCGCCCTTCCTGAGGGCAGGGTACCTGCGATGTGGGATGTAGTCGACAATCATGGATTCAAAGCCGATGTGAGAGTGGATTACGATGGTAGCGCCGAGGATTGCGTCCGTTACTGGGTTTATAGAACCCGCGGCGAAGGGGGCTACGGTTAGCGGGATGAGGGCTACAGAGATGAGCTTTGGAAGGTGTGTTAGCGGAGGTGGAGGGGAAGTGGTGGAACAGGGGGGGATACTCTTTCGAAAGACCAGTGGTAGGAACCATGTGCGGCGTTGGGATCAGGGACTTCGACGGCCTCGTTTACTGCTCACTATCAGTGCTAGCACTAAATCCGAAGACGAGAACAGCGAAGCAATACCCGTTCCCTGAATAACCTCTAAAACCCACCACCAATCCACCCCATTAGCACCCACCCACAAACATTACGTTACTAGAGAGTACTCACGAGGCCCAGCCGGCAAAATCTTCCTCGAGGCGCTAGCGTGAAACCCCTTTTTTGCCATTCCGGCCTGCCTCAAAATCTCCAAGTTCTTCATGGCCGTGCACCTAACACCAGCGGCAGTAGTGGCAGAGGAGGTAGTAGTAACCGGCCGACCTAATCTGAGCATGACGGCCGTGGCGGCAGAGGTACGCAGTGATGGCCTGAAAAGCGATGCCATGATTGTCTGGTTCGTCGTGGTGGGAGGAGAAGGTGGGCGGAAGTTGATGGAGAGTGGGTTAGCTCGTGATTTGGGGTGTGTGGCTGGAGACCTCGGGAGTGGAGGGGAGCCAATCGGGTGGGGGGATTAGTAAGCTAAACTAAAACCCTGGGCACGCGCTCTATTGTACGAGGCTATCTACAAAATTCGCTGACACTCCCCTCCATTTTACCCCAAAAATGGGCATTTTCACTTTGCAAAATCTCAGCTGTCACCCTGTAAAAAAATTAAAAATTTGCTGGAGCCCCTGGAGCCTGTAAGTGATGAGCTCTGTTGGTTGATAGCTACGGTGTAATACACAAAATAGCAATTGTGGAAAAAAAATACTTCTAATTTTATATGGGTTTCCCATATCATACAAAAGGTACAATGCAACAGCATCCAATCTGGCCACACAGCTCTCAGCCCTCAAGGTGGAGTGGAAAAATTGACATAGAGATTCTGGGTAATTTCCTACACAATGGTATTGATTTCCTTAATTCTCCATTTCTTTTGGATGAGTTGAGCATGTTTAAAATCAACCATTTTTGGTGTAAAGTGGGAGAGGTGTCAGCGAATTTTGAAGATAGCCTTGTATCATAAAAATATATTGCGATTTCTTCGAAAACAGCATATTTCCTAATTATCGAAACAAGCTGGCTTCAAAAAAATTAAATTTTAACACCATAGTGATGCGCCTTCACACATTCTATGAGAAATAAAAGGCAACATGAGGTCTACATTTTTGGTGAGTAAGGAAAAATAGTGGTCCTGTGGAATATCTCACCCATTGTCCTGCAATATTTTGCTATTTTCCTTACTCCCCAATATGTAGGCCTCCTACGGCTTTCCCTGTTTCTCATGGTATAAGTGGGGGAGTACCTGTTATCCGACTATCATCTTAATTTTTGTTTTGAAGTCAGCTTGTGTTGAGTATGAAGAAATAAGTCGTGCTGTTTTCAAGAATATCGCAATAATACTATTGTATATTTCCACTGGCACAGTACCTTCCGAACAGTCCCTTTTTCCCCTCTCCTTCCTCCCCCCTGCCCCTTTTCTAAAAAGTGGCAAGCTATGGCTGTTACCTCAGGTATGGGGTTGGATGCCGGTTACTGTAAGAGACTTCAGATTTTGGTGTCCACATTATGAATATGGTAGATTGAGAGAATTCTTTTTATTCTCCCATCGAATAGAATGTTTTTATCCCGAAATCAATATATGATACAGTAGTAGTGTAGGTTTAAATACCCTAATTCCCATTTCACCACCTCAAGCACAAGTATCATAATTATGATATCCATAAAACAATCCACCATACAAGCACACAAGCACAATATGACACCTATCTCTACCCAAGGCCCAGCAAGCAAGCAAGTGTGATAAGCACCATAGATCTACTCAACAACCCACCTCCCCATCTCCTTCCTCTGCACAACCTTCCTCGCCGGTAACCCCCACCCAACCTCACTCCTACCAATCGCTCCCCCAATCCTAGGGACAACCCAGCACTCCCTCCTCCTCCCCATCGAGTCGTCCAGCACCTTCGGAGGAACATGCCCTAGCGGCTTGGAATAAGTAATTAATGGCGTCCCTTTCGCCAGCGCCGCCAAGTGTGCCCCCGTGACGGACGTCAACGGCTTCATCCGAACTTTACCGGTCGGCGAAGCGGACTTCTTCAGCTCGCTATACACCAGGTACTCCGGGTACAAGGACTGCGATGCCAAGACCGAACTTGGGTGGATGTACACCGCTGGGTCCAGGGATAGGCCCTCGTCAGAGGGTCTCTGGAATGCGGAAGATGCGAAGAGCGTCATGTAGGGCACTTCCGTCACCCTTTTCACGCTGTTCTGGCTGAGTTTGTATGGGGAGTTGGGGAGAAGATCTGCGCGGATGGCGACCTGGTCTATGAAACCAGATGCTATGATTTGCTTTAGCGCTTTGACCTGCGCCGTGGACGGCGGAGGCAGTTTTGGATTGAAGGAGCTGAGCACGCCTGGACAATTCGCCACGATGATCTTGGAGATTTGCTGGCGGAGTTTGTGTGTTTCTTGCATAGCTTTTAGTCGAAGGAAGTTGCGCTCGCAGAAGTTTGTAGAGTCCTTCTCGTACTCATATGCACAGACTACAGATAGGAGTTTCAGGGCATCGCTGGTGGGGTCCAGACTTGAGAAGGCTCGATGAGCACGGTAGTATTCCTTCCGCCCTTTCGCTCGTTGTGTGTCTTCGAGGGCTGTTTCAGCATTTCCCGCTGCATCCTCGTCGTCTGCCTCTCTATGGATGTCTAGTTGGTGCTCTGGGATGAAAACGTCTCCAACTGATAAGGCTGCCACGATCGCGATGATGTATGGTAGACATTCATGTTGCTGGCCGATGATGAGGATCTTTGAGAAACGTGGTGACAATGGGAAGAAATTCATAACTCTTCCTAATTCTGTCAGGGCTCCTCCTGGATCAAGTGCCCCGAGGTATTCCAGAAGCTGTAGGTGGGTTAGTCCCAATGTTAAGCTAACACGTGTCAATGACGATGAAAAGACTCACCCTTTCAGACTTTTGTAAACTCGGCCGATCTGGCGCAGTCGGGAATGGGAAATTCGCAATAGTGTCGATATTCATGCTCCTCATTTGTAGGACAAGTCCTTGAACCTGTTAGTAGAACCTGAGAATCACAACCTATCACTCGAACGCACCTTCAATTGGCATTCGCAAGATCTCGGGCTCGGCAAACTCGGGGAAATCCCGTTCGTAGACTGCGGAGGAGTAAATCCTGTAGCAGTGGCCCGGACCCGTTCTCCCAGAACGACCAGCTCTCTGTGCAGCACTCGCCTTGCTGACCCAACCAATATCAAAACTCTGAACTCCGGTTGTCTTGTCGTAGTTGCGTTCCTTCGAACGTCCGCAATCAACCACGTATCGAATACCAGGGATTGTCAGAGAGGTTTCTGCGACATTAGTCGCCAAAACGCACATTCTTGATCCTTCCGGCACCTCCCCGAATACTTTCAATTGTTCTTTAGTCGGGAGGAGTGAGTATAGAGGAAGAACATGAAGCGGTGATTCGACGTCTTCGGCAGACATCTCTTCTCCAAGGTCATCGTCGTCACCTAGATCAGAGCCCTCTTCTTCGCTACCGTATTGGTCGGGCTTCGAGAAATCACCGAACTCCATATCTTCAGTTTCAACAGCCGCCTCACTCGCCGATATCTGCGCCGATGGCGGAGCAGAAGTAGAACTTGAACTCTTCTTAAATGGAAATGTCTTCCGTAGCCGCTTAAGTAAGTGAGTGATCTCATTCTGGCCAGTTAAGAAGACAAGAATTCCTATCACCGCATATCAGCGTCACTCTTAACTCCCACGCAAAGAAGGCACTCACCGCCAGGAGGAAGGCGCCGATGAACCTTGCAAACCTTCTTGTAAATCTCTCCCGGGTACTCAATAACTGTACGTCTAGAGAAGTGAATAGAAACTGGATGCTGCCTAGCCTCCACTTTAAGCAACGGCGGCGCCACAGGGAAAAGTCGCTGATTCTCAGTGAAATCCGATACTCGCAGCGTAGCAGACATTATAATCAACTTCAAGGGCTAAAATAACCGTTAGTCACACCTAATTTTGGCTCACCACAAGGAAAAAAACACCTTCGTCCCATATTTCTCTGCCAGCTCCTTTCTAAGCTTGAGCACGCGACTCATAACTCCAATCAAAATATCCGTATTGATACTCCTCTCGTGAGCTTCGTCAATGATAACAGCAGAGTACCTCCTGAGTAAAAAGTCTTCGGAGAGCTCCCGGAGCAAGACCCCATCCGTCATGAACTTAATCGCAGTGCTTGGTCCCGCAGTCCCCTCGAATCGGATCTGGTATGAGACTTTCTCCTTCCCTCCGGGACCTAATTCCTCGCCAACTCTGTTCGCCATACTCACGGCAGCAACTCGGCGCGGCTGTGTCACGCCGATCAAGCCAGGCGTCGGCGTATTTGGCGAGCCGTATCCCGCCTCGTAGAGAAATTGCGGAACTTGCGTAGTCTTTCCACTACCGGTCTCACCGCATATGACTACACAGTCGTTTGCATTCACTGCTTCCATTATGCTCTGTTCCTCTGCTACTACTGGGAGGGAAAGACGGGCAGCCTGTATCTCTATAGGGCGCCCGACGGTTACAAAGGATGCCTGGGTTTATGTTAGCCCAGTGCCTGCAGAAATGACTTCAGATTATTATAAGCGTACCTTTTTGATACCCTCTGGCGGAGGGGGTGGGCGAGCGGGAGCCATTTTGGGAATTGCGACGACTTTGGGTTTTAGTCCCAGAAGATTTGGCATTGAGTGCTCGGGTTCGCCGTCGTGGAGGGCTTGCTTTCGTTGAGCGAGAGCCCAGGCCTTGAAGGCATTTGCTTTCTTAGATTGGCCTCGCCGGAGACGGCTGACTGGTTTATTGCCTTCATCACCACCATCTTCCTCCCCTTCACTATCTTCCTCTGAACCACCGCCCCCGCCATCTGAGTCTTCTTCTTCACTTTCATTCTCCTCGCCCCCTTCCTCAGACTCACTAGGCCCGCCCTCCGCCTCCGCCTCCACGGAATCACCATCTATGGCTCGGACATCAGGTTCAGCGTCAATATCATCAGCAATGCCCCCCCATTCCTCCTCCTCCTCCTCTTCATCCTCACCCTCTACACTCCCACCACCCTCAACCAAGTCATCCCCATCCTCAGACCCACTCCCGCCAACCTCCCCCTCCACAACCCTAACCACCGCCGTCAACCGTTCCTGCCGCGTCTGAGCAGACTTCTTAGTCCTCTTAATAATTGGAAAGCCATTCTCGTCCGTTTCCAATGGCCTCTTGAGTCCAGAGCCAACCACAACCGCCGGTACTATGGGCGGTTTCTCCGCAGCTCTTTCCTCAACCTTAGCCTCCACTCCCAAGTTCACAACCTCCTCCGGCTCCACCGCCGGCGGTATAACCACCTCAAGCTCCGCAGGATCCCTAATAACCCTCTCCTCAAACACCACCCCCCGACTCTCCTCCCCCGCGATCCCGGCCTTAACCTCTCTAACCGCCCTTCGCACCCTCTCCTTCTTAGTCTCCCGCCCCCTCCCAAGCTCCTTCGTACTCCTCAGCAGCCCCGTATCCATCGATGACGCACCCGCAGCTAACTTTGCCATTATCTCGACCTTTTCTTCTTTCTTGAGTTTGTTCTCCTACAATCCCTAATTAACCACGCGCCCGTAATAGGTAGAATGGTAGGAATGGGAGGTGATAAGCACAATATACTTATTAAACCTCTTCAATTTCTTCCCAGACATGCCGGGGTTTTCGGCCCTCGCCTCGGCGAGCAAGTCCTCCTTGCGCTTTTCGGCTTTCTGCGCCTTTGTCAGGGGGATCATGACCTCTACGTTGGGGTCCGACGACACCGCAGCCGCTGGTGGTAGAGCTTCGCTGGTATTGTCGTCGGCATTGCGGGGGTTTTTTGGAGTGCGCCGTTGTTTGCGGTCGCGGGTTGGTTTGTATTTTGATGGCATTATGAGGGGGGTTCCTCCCTGGAGGGATTGGGTGGTTTGTTTGTCTGTTAGTCAGTGGGTTATTTGTGATTGTTGACGAGGGAATTTGATATTGATATTCTTGATAATGGTTCCTTTTTTTTTTAGACTACAAAACATGATACCCCTGCACCTCTGGAGGATGGGCTCGCCAAGGCGCTAGTCTTTTGAGGATCGTTTTTGAGCCTCAGTTAAAATCATTCCTGTGGGTTAGGGCTTATTCCTTATCACAACAAAACTAGAAAACTGTGACGTGGGAAAAAGGATTTCGGCTAATACAGGATCCAAAATCCTATATATTTTCCATTGGGTGAAGAACAGCAAGGCACGTAGAGTACGGTGTCGGTGAAACATTAAGTTAAAGTATTGTAAACTAATCTAGCAGGTGTCCCGGACTTCCCTCACTCTTCACCCCCTTGCCTTCGCTTCCTCTCAATCTTCAGCTCTCCTCATGATAGACGCCTTTATCTATGTATTTGCCAGCCAGGCTACAAAGAAAAAAAAAACACGATCTTACACGAATATAAAAATAAAAAAAGCTTGTAGCGATAACTTGTATCATAACTCACCCCTCCCCCCTTCCTCCTTTCCTATCATATACCAAACGCGCTTCGTCCATAATCCACCATAGTGCAAATATGTTACGCCCCTAACTTATACCCGCCGACACTTGTAATCAAAAACATCACCTACCCGCTCACTAGAGCTCGAAGGTCAATGGAATGCGCGAGGTAATACGGGCAGGGAAGAAGTAGAAACTAGTAGCAAGGTAGAGAAAGAACAAAACAGAAACCCCAGATCAATATTTTAATCCCACCCCGTACCATACCGATTTTTCGAAATGCTAGCTATGATCATGGTAAAGGGAAGAAAAAAGGAAAATAGTTATCGTACAGTTTATGGTATGCATGCACTTCGAAAGACTCGACCACCTTTCCCGATCGTTAGGTGCAGCAGCGAAAAACGTAAAGATAAGGCGTAGGACTTTTGATAAATAGACAGTTGATCGAGTTAGACCGAAAGGCCCTTTTTCTGATCGACAGGTGGCTTTGCACCATTTACGGCGGGATTGACTTCCTTGATCGGCTCAATATCACTCATGGTGACATCTTCGGCGTCCCTTTTGTGCACTCCGTTGGCTTTGAGGCCATTGCCGTGAGGAACTGGAGTATGAGTCGGGGTTGGCTCTCCTCCAGCGACACGAACGATTTGGTGAGCTTTGCTTGGAGATACAACACCATTGTTCCCGGCAGCGGGAGAAGCACCATCGGCTGGACCAGGAGCTTTGGGAATTTTGAATACGATCCTAAGAGACTTTCTCGGGGCATCCTCATCCTCCACTCCACCCGGCCCAGATCCCCAGCCAGCTTCATCTTCAGACTCCTCTCGTTCGTCGTCTCCCTCATTATCATCCCCATCATCACCCTTGTATACGACAACGCCGACAAGTGGAAGTCCACGATTATTGTAATCCCCATTCTCGCTTCCGAAGGGAGTACCGCGGCTCCCGACGGCAGTTCCATTGCTACCGTTGATTTTCACCTCGCCATAATCACCGGTGACCGGTTTGCGAATCTGCCTTCCAGATGCAGTGAATATTGGGACCTCGGGTTGCGGCAGCGGTTGTGGGGCAGGAGATCCTTTGTTGGAACGTGCACTACGCCTAGAACGACTGTCATCCTGTTCAGATGTCTCTTTCGTACCCTCCTCGTCAGTGGAGAAATTGTATCTGATGCGCTTCCCACGAGTACGGCCTTCGTAGAGTGAGACCCCACTAGGCTGATTGAAGAACGCTTTCCTGGAAGCACGATATTCTCGCTTCTTGCGCCTCTGTTGATCACAGATTAGCATTTTTTCATCAGCGTTAGACGTGAATTGTACATACGGTTTCGCCTTCCTCAAAGCGAGGTATGGCACCAATGATCTTCTCTTTCAAGGCCAATGCATGTTTAGAACCATCCTCTTCCTCAAGCTCCTTGGCGACCGTCTGGATCTCCTCGATGGTACCGGCAACAGAAATCCAAGTATGAGTCTTCAACGCAGGATTAGATTCCCTATAAAGCCTAAAGGGAGTATCGTCTATTCCTCTTCGCGTCAGCCCAGATCCGGGGGGAAACAATATGGGAGCAATTTCGAACCTCTTCCTTCAATCAACCAATATCTGCGCTTGTCCGCATCTCTGCCCCATGGTTGAACAGATAACGGTACGTTCAGGTCATCATCGCGTCGACTGCCCTTGTAGGAATCGTTGATGATACCGCGAATGACCTCCGAGGAACTCAAACTCCAATGAATCAATGCTTCAAGAATCTCCAACTAAATTATCGTACCACCCCATCAGTTTCGTTCCTGGAGATAAGGATCGCATTCGAAGATTGAAGAATGGTACTCACACGCTGAGCTGTATCCAGGTCACCGAAAGACTTGTTTCCCGAGAACGGGCTCTTTCCTTCCCAAGATGCAGGCCATTGGTTTCGATGTGCGTTGGCTGCTTCTTCCAAGGCACGTTGGTTATGACCACGCCTATAATGAAAAAATTCCCACGAATTAGAATAAACCGTCATTCACCGATCACAGCACTCCAAAGAAGATCTGTGCGCGCTACCCGCCCGTTGCATAGAACCAAATAAATAAATAAAGGGCATGAACATAACTAAAGAGAAACAAAAAAAAAAAGCGCTGGATAGGAAAAAGAAGAAAGAGACTTACTCAACCGGTTTCTTCCTATTCAATACCAAACTCAAAAGTTTGCAAAGGAGTTGCTCAACCTGCTCAGATGGCGTAGAATCCACGATTCCGCGCTCAATGTCTTGACAACCCAGATTGGGAACGCCTTTGAACGCGTCTGTAAAGCGAGAACGGAACATGACAATGAACGCCAGCTCCGGCGAATCCGCGAGTGTAGGTACATGGGGGGGCTCCTTCTTTTTGACTTTGCGCGGAGGAGTCGAGGCTTTGCGGACGAAAGGTAGCTTTTGCTGCTGCTTTCCCTTTACACCCTTCTTAGGAGTAGGCTTCGTTCTCGATACTGCCTTTCCTTTTCCTTTGGTAACTGCTGCTGCGACAGGGCTGGGAGGACTGATCTCGTCGTCACTGGCGGGGGGTGAGGATAGAAGCGAAGAGAGGGGCGAGTCCAATCCGGAACTCATGATTTCTAAAAATGCAACTCTAGGTAGACTTAGCGCTTGTAGCGATATCTCCTGGGCGAATATGCGTACGATTTCGTACGATTTCGCACAATGTAGTGGTGGTTGCAAGAAGAAGACTTAGAAGGTGGGGAGTTGGGAGTTGGTTGAGGTTCACACGGAGGGAAGTGGATGTGTGTGCGAGCAGGAGCAGGGACGACAAGAGTGAAGAGGAGCGATGACAACACCGCTGACACCCAAGAGGGGCAAGCAATAAGGGCACAGGCTTAATTACACTGTATACATTACAGAGGATCGGAGGCACATATATATAAAGCTTAAGCCAGCGCATCAGCTAACCTTATTCCTATATCTTCTACACAAAAAATATCATTCATCCACGAAGGAAACATTCTATGCAAGAAAGCTCCCAACTTTCGTTCTCTTGGAACCTATATTCCTGGTCTCTCAGCTGTTCCAAGCCCCACACTCAATTCACGAACGATCCAGTAGAGCTCCAAGTGCCTTGCTAGCACCAAACTCCAATGTCACCCCGCAACTCTTCCAAGACAACTCTTAAAACCAAGCCAAAGACCCTCGTGCAATCCATGGTTGCTGGGCCGACCGACCAGAGAATTATATGCGAAGCCGAGAGTGATCGATGCATCAACCAAAACCGAGCCGAAGGTCCCCTATTCCGACATCCAAAGCTACCCCGACCTGGGCAAAAACACCAGTCAGTCGTCTCGAGAAGCAACATACCGAAATGGGACGGTTGCGCAAAACTCCACAGCACCCCTCCCCCAAAAAATACCCACGGCAAAAACACCTAGGAATAGAGGCATGAATCAAAGAAATGATAGCACCGAAAACGCATTCTGTATTTGAAGAGGGAGGGAGAAGGCCCCAAGCCGTGAAAATATTTAGCAACCCGCCCCCCCCCCAATTGATCATGTCAATGGAAAACCGTCAACGAGTAGCAGCGGCTGCAACAACGAAAGGATCCGGAAATGCAGGGTTATTTCCCAGAATTCTTAACAGCCCGAAACCACAAAGCAGTCGAGACGACGCCGTTATAGCGGGTCCGAGCGGCAATCCCTCCCAGCAGGGCAGAACGAGGCGGAAATTTTTGCTGTCACCACAATCCACCAAACAACCTTCACAACCCAATCAAATGAACTTCACACCCAGGCAAAGGGGGCGGTTGGAGGTAATGTTTTTGAGGAGATGGAAACGTTGTAACCACAATGGTAGAAACGAAACGGGCAGAGGATCATAAGCCTGAGACTGAAGTGGCCGCAAGTCGGTGATAGAGAGACCTCTCAAAGACCCAATAGTCAGTCAGTAACATCTAAGGGCCATGACAGAAACGCATTCGAAACTTCTCAAAGCAATGAGTAAACATCCTAAGACACGGTCCCGAAGTCGGGGAGATGTCAAAGCAGTTGAAAGACCGAAATACTAAAGCGCCGGTCAGGGGGTATCGATGATAATTTTTACGGTTGAGTTGGCCGGGATTGCCAATGTACGGGGTTGCGTCAAATGGTGAAGCGAGTGCGTGTAGGCCACGATCGTGGGTGAGGGATGAAAGAGGTTGGAGGATCTCCTTGGCGATTTTGGAAGCTATTGTGGCGGAGAAGGGGAGTCTGACTGGCAACTTATCAGCCACAGAATATCACGGGATACCGGTAAGCTAAGTTTGATAAAGCATATCACGGTAGAATAACGAGTGACACCTTATGACAATTGGGGGAAGCTCACTGGTTTGAATCTTGTTTTCAAAAGCCTGCGATGGCGCAGATTGTAAATTTTTTTCAGGGATGAGAACTGCGATTCAGGGCGATGTATTTTCTTCGGAGGATCGATCGAAAATTTGGCCATCCGTCATGCCACAAGGGAGACCAAGGGCACAGAATGCCTAGACTATCATACATCCCGATTTCTCTACTGGGGTTTAGGACACTGGTTGAGGGCGGTCCGGTCACCGTGCGTGAGTGCTATGTGGCGAGCGACATCCTACAAGTATTGCCGGTAGATGGTTTGAAATTTGTTCCACCAATCGGCAGCACTATTGCTACCGAAGAAATTTCAAGAAAAACCCCACATCCCAGCTTCCCAGCTCTTGGTCTGCTTTCTGTCCAGAGTACTAGCGTAGGTAGACTATGGATAGACTAAGTTACTCGAGTGCTCATTCGTAGTACGGTACTTGTACCGGCAATCAGATTTGTTTTTTGCCCGATACAAGTGCAATGCCTTTTAACTTGGGCGGTTGGACTTGCTACCAAAAGCGCCTATACCCGAGTAGGAGTACTAGTACTGTACTGTACGTACTCGTACATAAACCATTCCACAATATATCACTCGGTTCAAACTTCAAAACACCAACTCCATTCCCTTTGACAAGGTCCTTCTCCCCGACATCGTGGGTTACCGTACCAATTTTCAAGCCATTCGCCGGGACGGCCGAACAAAGCTCATTCAACTTTGTTTTACCGACGGAGCACAGGCAACACACAGGAGCGAAGACCTATCCGCTCTGCACATGCCCAGTGTATAAACCGTTGGAGGGCTCAGCGAGGCGGCACCCTCAGCGAGGCATGGCAAAACTTGGCATTTGTAAACAGTTAGTGAAGTAGATAGTGTCATCAAAAATTGAGCAAGCCGGAACCTACCCTCCCTTCCCAGCAGTTCAGAACAGCAATCATGAGTTCAGAAAATAGTGACATTGCACCGCGCATAGGAGAAGAAATGGCCATTGAAATGGCTACTACTGGAAAGGCCCTGAGCCTTACAGTTGCTGCAGAAATGGTAGGAATAGCTCCCACTACCATTATACATTGGTGCCAGGGAAGGAAGAATAGAGAAGAAGATAATCAGTGCAGACAGAAGCTGACCCCGGAGGAGGAGAGGGTTGTGCTGGAACAATGTTACTTCCACTGTCATCTTGGATTCCGTCCAATAATATGGTAACTCCTACAAAAGCGAAGTCCAACGGAAGTAGTTGGTAAAAAGTAGGAATCAACCTTTACACTGGGCATCCAGATATGAAGTCACGATTTATCAAGCAGCTGGATTTTATTTGCAATTTACGTGGAAATGATGTTCAATTAATGAATCATTTCTTTGGTGAGGTACTTTTATTTTATTTATATATATATATATTTTATTATGCCTTTTTTGTTTATTTTTTTATTATTATTTTAAACAAGTATTAATAGTAATATTATTTAGCTAGAAAGAATTGTCCTTGAGTATGAAATAAAATCTCAAAATATATATAATATAGATGAGGTTGGATTTCTACTTGGCCTTGGTCAGTCAGAATGGGTTTTAGAGGTAATTTGAGAAACCTAGACAAAGAGGAGAATTGAAGTATCATGGATAAAGTATGGTTCACCCTATTTTCTTATTCTATTATTTTATAAATTGGTACTTATATTTAAATAGATAGTACATGTGAATTTATAACAGTGATTGAAGGTATCTGTGCTGATGGAACAGCATTAGATCCAACAATCATATTAAAAGCAGAGGAATTTGTATCAGAATGGTTTAGAAGAGTTAAAGGTGTACTGGAAAATATTCTGTTTGGAAGTTTACACAATAGATGAACTGATAAGAAAATGGTACAAGAATACCTGCGGCGAAACTTTGATTCAAACAGTATATCAGCACAAAAGGCAGCTGGTAAGTTTCGACTTCTTCTATTTGATGGTCATAGTAGTCATGTCAATATTTGGTTTCTAGAATTCTGTATTTCACAGAAGATTATTCCCTACTATTTGCCTCCACATACTACATATCGATTATAACCCCTCGATATATCAGTTTTTAGTTCTTATAAACATTATTATTAAAAAGAACTGAAACATCAGTTTGAACAATACGAGTATGGTGTTTCGAAAGAAAATTTCAACAAAATTCTCATGATCACACGTTGAGTATCGTTCAATTCCAACAACATATAGAGTAGATTCTGCCATACAGAACTTGTACTTGTTAACAGTAACATTGTTTTTTCAAAAATCTAAGCCAGCAGACCTCGATCTCCTCTATGTGACCCAAACACCACTGATTCTCACAGCCATGAACAGCATTCCCAAGATATTAGTATTGAACCCATAAGTATCTTTTTAGTGCAGCAAATTAATAGATTGGAAGTATCTCGAAATACTGTAAGAACTTGAATAATCAGACCATGTGCCAGGTAGTTAAATTAAGGTAAACTACGCCAAGCACACTAGTCATCTAATATGCAATATTAATTTTATTATTTCTTGGTAGTTATTTGAAAAAGACTTCTGTCTTATCCTCACTAACATCTAATCCTACAGGATTCTCCTCATTATCAGCAACATCAACAATCTCCCAATTCTTGGGTCCCTTGGTAAGAAATTTTGTTTCAATCTCTTTTACTGAGATTTCATGATCTGCTGACCCATCAATAGGAAGCTCAAGCCCAACTACTCGAAAGGCCTTTCTAACTACCTCAACCTTTGCTGCTGAGAATCTCTCCAAGGCATTACCTACTGCCCATGTTACCGCTATCTGTTGTTGTCCAATCTTACTTCTGGTAAGTACTCCTCTTGCTGCTAATATCATTTCCTCTTCTTGTTCAATCTCATCAAGCTTGATTTCTAAAGATTCCTAATTCCATATAATTGAGTTAGGACCTTTGACTCTCAATGGTATTCTAGAGTAAATAGAAATAAACAAAAAACGAGGTCTTTACAAGAAGAGGTAACTCCAATATTTTAGAACATGATTTGATTATTTGAGTTCTTATAATATTAACTTGAAAATAGTAGTGGAAGTTTCATCTTTCTGGGGAAATCAAGGGGCTTGTTCTTGGGTATTAACTCTCTGAGGTAAATGCTCTATGGATAATTATTGTTATATTAATAATAAGAATAAACTAACCTTTAAGATATCTTTAAAAGGATAGTTTGTTGATATGTGGAGAGGTTGTATTAGCCCTGTACAACCTCCTGGAATAACACTGGTAGTAATATTATGGGCTTTTATAGTATTGAGTATGATATTGGTTTTATGTTCCTTAAAGAGATCCAGTGCAAGAAGGGTTGGTTGACTGTCCAATACCAGAGTCAGCTGTTCATCTAACCAGTTAACACTATTCTCACTATTTGCATAGGCTGTGGGATTAAACTTCACAACTATGTAATTATCATATTCTCTCATCTCCTTTATAATTGTTGGTCCGATTCGCTTACCGTGAAAGAAGATGAGTGGTTTTACTCGTGCAATACTGTCTGCGAATATGGTAAGCTGAATCATTCCTTAGTATTTGTTGCAACCTGATGACTGACTTGATTGCATCCAGATAGTTTTCTCGCCCTTGATGGTATATGTTTGTCCATCAATGAACTCATAGGGTACTGGTATCTGATCTATATTGCAGATATTCTGAAGTCAGTATCTGTTAATTATTAGTAATAAGTCTTCCAATTCTGGTATATCCCGATTCCTAAGCTGTGAATTATGATGATTGAAGTGTATTCAGTTGAGAATTACTTTACCAAAATTACTAGGTAATTTGCTGGCTTTATTTGTAATGGTTCAAAGGCTAATCTGGTACCATGATAGAAAACTGTGAAACCAACCATTTGAAAAACAGAAATGGTTGGCCTAACTTTCCCCATAGGGATTCTGGATTAGCTCATTACTAATACGCTGGAACCAGCCCCGATGCATAGTCCTTCCCATCAGACATCTTTCCTGGAACTTCTCGTACAATTCTATTTCTATCTGCTTCCACTGCCTCTACCTTCCTCCTCCTAACATCCATTATTGCCTTTCTTTTCCTTCTTGAAAGTGTCCTTCTTCTTCTTTCTTCCTGTACCGTGATAGATTCGTGAGCAGTAAATAAAACCAGTTTGCGACTTCAGCACATGTTGGTTTGTGAAATTGTATTGGCCCATAAGACATGGATTGCGAACTCTAATAAGAAAGAACTCAAAGCTTATAGTTTACTGTATAGGACCGATAAGGATTTCTTGTTGGTTATTGTAACTTGCGGAGTGCTGCTGATAATGGTTTCCACTTTGGACCAGGTTGTAACGATCCCTTTCTTAGATAGTTAGTTCTTGACGACGGGGAACGATACTTATCTTTTCTGTCTTCTTTTTTCTTTGTCTTACAATAGCTATAGGCCTATGCCCACGTTACCGATAGTACAAGACCTCTGTCTTCTATCGGGAACGCCTATCGTAAGCTTTCTCTAACCTGTCTTCTTCGAAGCCCTTTCTTGGCGTAATGATATTGTTGCAATAAAGATAAAGATCATAAAGGTGTTTTATATTTGTTATAGTAATAAGTAGGAAAAGTACTTAGAACAAAGCGTGAAGAACCTATCTTCCTTGGCCGCATCGGCCTCATTATATAGTGTTCTTCCCGCCTTTAGTCATGTAACCTAAAGTGGTCACATGTGCAAAACCAAATCATAACAAACTAGTCATATGACCAAAGTGATCACGTGCTCAAAACCCATGACCTCATAGCGAGGTCATGTGCAAAACTCATAAACCAATCATAATGCAATAAACAAGTCATATGACTC